TAAATAAATATTTTATCGAGAGCTTGGCACTATATAAAATGTTTTGTAATTATATAAGATGTAAAATTGTGTCTTAAGATTATGAATAAATAATACCTTTGTTAAAGTAGAATTCCAGATCTTTAAGAAAAATCTGGCTGTTTCATAACTTTATGTGGCTTTTTCAAAGCTTATGTGTTATGAAAAAGCCGAATATCATTATTTTTATAAGTTATTACAAATCAAAAAATATTGTCAATATTGGAAAATATTCCAAGTCATTAGTTACATAATTGAATAAACAATTACCTACTACACCAACTTTTTTATTTATTTATATATTTCAATACTATTTGCCCCTTTTTTTTAAACTGGTTCTTTCATGCCACTCTTCCCACGCCTGAGACGGTACCGCTCAGTCAGCAGCGGTGCCAATATGAACATGCACTTAGCCATTACAAGATGGTAGCCAAGATGATAGCAAGACCCATGATTAACCATGGAGCAGTTGCTTGGTACACAAAACTAGACCAGCGTACAGCAAGGCCAAACCTGTGCAAAGTACAGAGACTGGCATGCATCTGCACACACTTGCTGTGAGAACATACCCAACAGCAGCAATGGAAGTCATTAGAATAGCCATTGACACAGTACTGGAAGAATTGTCAGCTCAGGGGCTTGGAACATCCCCAAAACGATATTTCCACTCCTACAACTACCAGTGGATGACATTTCAAGAATATACAACTTTTTGAAACACATCACTGTAGTATTGAGCAATAATAAGGATAGGAAGAGAGAAACAGCAGGTAAAAGACCATTCCATATCGTGGTATACTGACGCTTCCAAAACCAAAGCAGGGACAGGTATTTGGGCCGAAATCTAAATACTCTGAATCAATGGGCACCTATCCCAGCATCCTACGGGCAGAAATCTACGTTATTTGAAAGATGCGTATAACTTATCTCAGCTAGGAACTATCGGACACAGGAAATAGCCATCTTATAAATAGCCCGTAAATCTCGCATTTTTACTTACAGTAGAATATTCTGGAACCTAAGATAACTTTTATGTCACGTAACAGAGTCTACGCAATTCCCGATCTACATAAGTATCTAAATGATAATTCTGCGTCCATTGTTAAGTTCATATTATATAGAACTCGTAACTAACAGGAAAGTTTAAAGAAGTTAAGGCAAAAGCATAGTAATGACAAAAATATAATATGCCAACCAATACCAAAAGAAAATTGTAAATTCGATTGATAATAATAATAACAGTAGCCTTATACTCCGTATATAGCACGCTTTTGAAGTGGCAAGGTATAGCTTTCTATACTAGAGTATAGTTTAGTATACTAGGCAAGTGTGGGGCTACATTTGTGTGGCAAGCACTACGCACTAGCAACCGCCTTGCTATCTTAAGATGTAAACTCCAAGTACTCATTAAGCCTGGTCGACACGGTCAAAGTTTATTTAATCCAAGTACACTTTGACCGTGTCCTACGGACAGAAATCTACGTTATTTGAAAGATGCGTATAACTTATCTTAGCTAGGAACTATCGGACACAGTAAATAGCCATCTTATCCGTGAGTCAAGCAGATAAAAGCGATCAACTCAGTAACAATCAATTCGAAGTTGGTCAAAGAATTCCTAGAGAAGCCTAAGAGATTCCTAAGAATTGAACAGAATGGTGGCTCGCAGCGATTTTTACCAAGAGATATTTTTTACGTAGAAAATCACAGAAATGTATATTTTTTTCACTCAGTAGTTTTATACAGGTACGGACGAAAAGTTGTTACTCTTCAAAACAGTTAGAACACATGTAGGTGGCGCCCCTCCAAATAAGATCATATTGATATCAAAATCAAATTATACTGTGTATATTTCAAGGCTAAAAAAGTGTCGCAATATTCATCAGGGACGTGCATATGAGTTATCACTGGAATATTTTTCTAAAAAAAGCATGTACGCTACTGACTTTTCTTTATCTTGTTAGCGAAATAGCGTAAGCAGTTTAATACCGATTTAAAGTTGTCTCTTGATATTTTGTCGATTTCGGCCTACATAGGCAATTCGAACTACATAAGCAAAGAAAATAAAGTCCTCGGAAAAAGCGAACACTCCACTAGCTGGACTAGAACCAATCTGTTTCCCAAGTGGAAACCAACTTAAAGCAGAACTAAAAAACCTGGAAAAATATATCCATAACCTCTAACGGTCTAAGACACTCTAAGAAATTTCTCAGAATTTACGACCTTTTTATGAAGTTCTCTTTATGAAGAATTTTAACAGCTGTACCCTAAACTTCATTATTTGTAATATAGTAATCTTCCTTACTTGTAATAGAAGTTTGCCTTTTTCGCGACAAGTATTGTCAGTGGCGGACTAAGCCTGTCGGGGGCCCGGGGCGGCAAAGCTAAATGTGGCCCCCGGTCTGTTTAGATAATGATATACTACTAATGCACATTTTGTAAAAATTGAATGATGTATAATGGTTGACAAAATTCAAGTATTTATACAGGGTGTCCCAGGCTGAGCCTGCGTTACAAGTCGTTACAGTATCATTGTTTCACAATGAGATCTATCGATTAAAAATATTTTCAAATATATGACTATATATATATACATATATATATATATATATATATATATATATATATATATATATATATATATATATATATATATATATATATATATATATATATATATATATATATATAATATGATATGACTTTCGGAAGTACCGGAAGTTGACAGCAACTTTCTTATTATAAATGGGTGACCCCATTTTTTATTACATACTTATATTCTCTGTAAAATTTTATGAATTTTGATATTAAACACTCTATATCTAACGTTAACCGTTTTTGAGAAAAAAAATATTTATAATTTTTGGAGGAAAAAAACTGCCTGTCAAAAATATGTATACAGCCTAAACGTCAAACTTAGTGATTGCCACAGCCACTGTACCATAAAGAGAAGACATGTGGCTATCTATGTCAAAAACTAAATTGTCCGAATGTCATATAATATTGGCCGCAGCTCTCATAGAATTGTGCGATTAAAAAATTATAAAATAATTTTTTTTTCAAATGGAAATCCACTTTTTTTATTTCACTCGTAAAAAGGCTTTTGTTACTTTCGTTTTTAAAACTTGTTACTTTTTGACTATACATGTTCCTGTACCTAAAATAAATCGCTTTTAAGTTATCTAAGATTTAGCTTTAAAGCGTATATTTTTCTTGATTTTAACCAGTAGCCTATGACAGTATATTATCGATCATCATTTCCAAGCTAACTTTGCGCTGTTTTTTTTTCGATCGTACGGTATATTATTAAAATATCAACTATTAGATATCACTAAAGAACGAAAATACAAGATATATTTATATAAATACACTTTTTAAACTTTTGAGGCACGAGAAGTTATAATATAGAAAATTCAGATAATTCATTTTCTAACAGATGGAAATAAATTGTCTGACTGTTTGACACTTAATGTCAAAGGAAGCTAGATTAAAGCTAGAGAAAAATATACGTTTTTAAACTAAATCTTAAATAACTTAAAAACGATTTATTTTAGGTATAGGAATATGTCTAGTTAAAACGTAACGAATTGGAAAACCTTTTCACTAGTGAAATAAAAAAAGTGAGTTTCCATTTGAAAAAAAGTTATTTATGATAATTTGTTAATCGCTCAATTCCATGACAGCTACCGCCCTTATTATATGACATTTGAACAATTTAATTTTTGAAATAGATAACCACATGTCTTTTCTTTATGTCAAAGGGGCTGTGATAATAACTAAATTTGATTTTTAGGGTGTACAATTTTTTTTGACAGGTAGTTTTTTTCGTCCAAAAATTTTAAATATTTTTTTCTTAAAAATGCTTCCAGGGAAACACCGCGACAAAATATCGCGATTTTGTAAGTCCTCCAAGATCCGAGGGGCCCCTTCGCTGTCTCAGGCCCGTGGCCCCCGTTATACTAAATACTTCACTGCTCATCATCAGTAATGAAGCTAGAATACAAGTTAAGCTGTGCATTGGTTGTAATTTAAAATGTGTATTCAGTAAAAATAAATAAAATGAAACCATTGAAAAATTAACTTAAAAGCTAAAATAAATAAATTCAGTCTCAAAATATAGAAAAAATAATAAATATTCGATATTTTAAAGAAAGAAAATTACCCCTTGATTTAATTTCCTAAATAGAAAATGCCATTGACAATAATTACTGGGGCCTGATAATTGATAATTAAGTAAATATCTGCTCTCATTTATACTGTTTATAGTTGGCATATACGTATGGTTTGCATACTCCACCTACAAACTGCTTTATAACTACTGAACACATATTGGCCTTGTTTGCCAGTTGAATAAAAAATTACTTATTAAGATCCGGATCCCTTAAAGATGGGGCCCGGGGCGGACCGCCCCTTCCGCCCCCCCCCCCCTAGTCCGCCACTAAGTATTGTATGCTATTTCTTCTTTGACACGTCTACAAACATTAACATTGAATAAAAAGTCCTTACAGTTAGCAGCGACGCTACTCGAAATTCAAGCAAGTCGAAAGCCCTAGCTTTAAAAAAGCAGCATGTACGTATTGGAGCTTTACATAAGATTTAAACTGAACAATATTTAATGTTAAGCGGTAGTATAAATCATAACAAATTCTAAGGTCAAAACAAATGCTGCAAATATGAAACTTTTTCAGAAAACTTCTTATAAGACTTTGCTCAGGTTAAATCCTTTGATATTTATTACACCAGGATTGTTCTTGTCTTCGGCATTTTGTTGTGTATCTTTTTACGCCCGTTTATAACATAAAATATTTATCTCAAATGAGAGTGTGCCAACTAAAATAAACCTATTCCGAGAAATTATTAAAAGATAAAATAAATATTATATAGAATGTTAGTTTCTGCTACTGATAATTGGAGATAGAACAATACAAAACGACTCCTAAGAACAATAGAAATGGCATCAACAATAGACTTACATCAATTACAGGATATACCTTATATGATCGGAAGAGAACTAAAGAAATAAGAAAAACATGTAAAATATGGGATGTAGCCAGATGGACAAGAAACAGGAGAAGAGAGTGGAGAGACCATGTGGATGAACAATACAAAACGGCTCCTAAGAATAACAGAAATACGAACACTTACAAGATTATATTACAATTACAGGATATACCTTATATGACCGGAAGAGAATTGAAAAAATAAGAGAAACGTGTAAAATACAGGATGTAGCAAGATGGCCGACAAACAGGAGAAGAGATTGGAGAGACCATGTGGCCAGAATGCCATGATGCGAAAATTTCTAAGGATAAACGACCTAACACACACACGACCGCCTGGACAACCACCTATAAGATGATAGCTGGTCTTCATCATCCCAACTGTTCCTCGGGAACCCTTGAAGAAAACGCATGACTTAGTAGTAACGTACGTAGAAGAAGAAGATAATTGGAGATAACTCAAAATTAACTTGAGAGTAATTATGCATATATATGTAGTTGAAAACTAGATACGGTCCTGCTGGCAACTAGCCCTGAACAACTGCAGACAATATTGAACAGCGTCGTTGAATCTTGCACGGAAGCGGGCCTAGCCTGGACAATATTAACAAGACCAAGGTGATGGTGATTAGCAAGACCCCTAATATAGATACACATATTCACATAGGCGGTGTATATCTGGAACAAGTTAATAATTTCAAGTATCTAGGATGAACAACAATTTTACAAACACAACTGAAATAAGAATAAGAATAGAAGAAGCTAGGGCTGGGGGGATTCAGAAAGACGAGTAAAGTGCTTTGTTGTAAGGACCTTCAACTGCCTCTGAAAATACCGTTATTAAAGTGTTATGTGTTTTCGATCTTGCTTTATGGAATGGAGTCTTGGACGTTGAAGAAGAGCGAGATGAAAAAAATAGAAGCCTTCGAAATGTAGTGTTACAGAAGAATTTTAAGAATATCATGGGTGGACAAAATTAGTAATATCAGAGTGTTGGAGATGCTGATACGAGTATGGTGGTCATAAAAAGCATAAAGTCCAGACAACTGGAATACTTTGGACATCTTATGAGACAGGAGAAGTACCATCTATTGCAGAACATCATGGAACGCAAAATAGAAGGGAGACGCTCTGCTGGAAGAAGAAGGATGTCCTGGCTCAAGAACTTGTGGGAGTGGTACGAAGTCAATGCCATCACAACTATTTAGAAAAGCCGTGCACAAAATACAAGTGTCATTGATGGTAGCCAACGTTTTTCAAGAACAAGGCACATGAAAAACCTCAAGGGCTCTATCACTCTTTAAGGATCCCTAAATACCTGAAAATGTTATATTTTCTCTCTTATTCTTTTTTAATAAGTAGTTCAAAACTAGAATTATGTATGCTAAAGACTAAATACAACTAAAAAACTCTTGTAAAAGAACTAAGTACAAGACAAGCACAAGCGGAGTCCAATGTGAAGTATTCAAGTAAAATATTAAGGTAAAGAAGTTACCAGCTAACCAATGCGGTGCTAAAAAACTACTAGGTTTGACTATGAATCACATTATAGCAAGTCATTTTATTGACAAACATGCATTGTGCCTGTTATTTTACGATTTCTCCTCAAACTTGGCAGGTCTTTGACACTGTCATGTGTAGGAACAAAAAAAAGTCAAAAACATTAAAGATTTAGTTATGAAAAAAAAATCTATGCCAATGAGACAGAACAAAAACAGATACACAAGAAAACTTAAACGAAAAAAAGACATACTTAAAATGCACATTAAAGGATCATGAGAGCTTTAAACTGACTGATATTTAATGTAAAGCGGTGCCATAAATCGTAGCGAGAAACTCTAAGAAACAAACGATCAAAACAAATGCCGCAGATATGAAACTTTTTCGGAAGACTTCTTATATCTAGGGCTTTACTCAGGTTAAATCCTTTCGTATTTATTTCACTAAAGCCGTCCGTTTGCTCCACGTTTTGTTGTTTATTTCTTTGTGCCGGATCGACGAGACCCGACCGGAGACATCTGGAATTAATGCGAATGTGTTTTTGCGCTTTGTTGTTTGTTTTCCTTTGCGGATTCGTATCTGCGCTTTATGGAACCATAAAGTTCGTTGAACTAATTTTTGGATCTTATCGACTGTTGATAGTTTATTGTTTGAAAGGAAATTATGTTTAGATTGATTGAACATACCGGGTGTTTTACAAAAGGGGTTCACCCCTATAACTTTGCATGTATATGACGTAAGTCAATATTGACTGACGTAGGTATTCAATTATTTTCATTCACTTCCTGTTTGTTTCACCTTGCAACACCCGCATCATCAGAAAAATGTTGCAACAAACGACTCTGCAAAATCCCTTATCGCAGAACATACCAGGTGCGTCTCAAAAGTGGCTCACCCCTATAACTTTTATTTTTTCAGATAAAAAAATCGAGATTTGGTATGTTAGTATATCACATAAATCAGGATTGACGTATTCGATTCTTTTCGTTCACTTCCAGTTTCACCGGAAATTTTGATTCTTAAAAGGCACCCTCTGTATTTTTTTACTTTTTTCTATAGACAATTACTCTGAATAGAATGACATATCCTATGTCAACGTTTGTCATTTTCGCTTAAAACAAAATTGTATTTTAAATTTCAATCTAGAATTCCGTGGCTGTGTTAAAAATACAATTTTTAATCAAGAAGCCTTCGAAAAATAGATTTAAAATAGATCGTCTAATGTTTTAGTGTCTTGTCCTGGCCGGTTAAAAAATGCCCTAATCGTATTTTTCATCATATCTCAATTTTTCCAAATCGAACAATGGTGGTTCATTAGCATATTTGGAAAAAGCATTTTTTACGAATAATTCGGTACCACACACTTGGTATTTCGAGTCAAATTATCGTTGCAATTTGAAATAAACCATATTCGAGAATATCAAAAATTGACATATGATATGTCATTCTTTCAGAGTGTCGTTTTCTATCGAATAAAGTAAAAAAATAGAGAAGATGCAATTTAAAAATCAAAAGTTAGAGTCGTTTTCGGTGAAACAGGAAGTGGCCGAAAAGAATTCAATACTTCAATTAATCCTAATTCATGTCATATACTAACAATTTAGCTCAATTTTTAATCTGAAAAAATAAAAAAGGTATAGAGGTGAGCCAGTTTTGAGACGCACCCGGTATTACAACATTCAGTACAGGATAGAGTATTCAGAGACCAAAACAATTAATAGGGACTAACACTGGTTTAAAAGGAAGCGACGTATATATGCTCAATATTCCGGCCCATTGGCATCAAGGTGACATATAAGACATCCCTTTATCAGCATCTTGCAGGAGTTGATGGGATGTTACATTGATTTCATCCGCTAAAGATTATTCAGTCCCTTGGCAGTAATTTCAAGATTAGCATAGGGATATAAATTAATTTAGTATTTACCTACTTGATAAAGACTAGTCATCAGGTCGAAATGTCGTGTGTAAAGGGCTGTTTACACTCTCAATTAATTTGTTCAAACTGGTTTGCTATAAACAAACGGTACCAATAAAATATTGTATATAAAGTATAAACAGAAATAGTTATAGTCCGGTCGACGTTGATTTTGAAAATAAAATTTTCAAAATCTTTTATTTCAAGCATTAAAATCTACATCTAAATATATAAAAGTTGAAATTATATTGGACTATTAAATATAGAAACGTTAAAAAAGAAGGTGCAAGTAAAAAAACTAATAAATAACCTAATATAAAACAGTATATCATAAACACATAAACTTTTATTTTTCTATTATTTATCTAACTCTTCTTCTGAGTTACTGTCTTCCATAGCTGAATCATAAACAATTATTTCTTCAACTTGATTTTCTTTGTCCGTTTCTACGTTAGGTATACTTTGGCGTTGAATTAACTCTTGGACTCCACTTGGTAATGCGGGTTGGGTATGCATGATAGGTCGCAATTCATCTTCGTCTAACTGCCATCCGAAGTCATAGAAGATAACCGATTTGTTAGACGTACATTCTTATATTCATAAGCTTGTACATGACTCCGAGGCAGTGCTGCCTCGATGAGTTCTTGTCTGATAGCAGTCGGGCAGAATCATATTGTTGTAATTGCCGCCATTTACGTGCTCTAAATAACAACGGTGAGCTTACCTTCATTTAGAGCTGATGGTGTGTTTCACAAACCGATGAAATCAAAATTTATGTCATTATTAAGTATTCAGCCTGTGTTACCACCGACAGACTATCATGTCTTGATAGATGTCGGAATGGCTTTGCATAAGGTTGCAGCATGGCAAGGCAATGAATTAGTATGTCTTAAACATTATTTAAAAAAAATCAAAAGCAACTTCCATGTTTATTTAATCATTACCATCCAAAAATAAATATCAGAATTAAAAAGAGGTCCCCCTAAAAAACACGCGGGATTTCATATCTCGACCGGACTATTAGTTTGTGCAGTTCAAAAATTTGGCTTGAATAAAAATCTGCCTCGTCTTCATTATTAACCATAGTTAAATAAAAAGTACACTGGACGCGCGTTTCGCTAACCATGTTAGCATCATCAGCAGATGATTATAAACTAAAATACAATCTACAATTGGAGCGTTTATATACTCGCTCAGTGGGCACAGAGTGGGCGTGGCAAGATCTAGCCAACCGAGTCAGAACCCATCGAGCGTAACAGTTAGATTTCCACCACTATAGTAGTAGGAACAAAGAACTTGAAGGAATCGGACCGTTGTCTCTGTTCATACTATCTTTACATTTATTAAGTCTGATGCTTTCATATGCATCTAATTGCCTGTAATTTGAGACTTGTTTAATTAATTTCATGTTATTAAGATCTATACAATGTTCCTTATCAACAATATGTTCAGCAACGCAAGATTTATCCGGTCTACCATATCTTATCTGAGCTAAATGTTCTTTAAATCTAGTTAATATTGATCTTCTAGTTTGCCCAACATATTTATGATTACAATCTTTACAAGAAATTTCATAAATACCCGACCTTTCCAGTGGAGATGTTTTATCCTTTGGATTAGCTAATAATTGTTGTAATTTATTATTAGCAGTATACACAAGTTTATAATTGACATTCTTAAAAATTCCTTTTAGACCACGGGATAACTGTCTATCAAACGGCATTGAAAAATATTTTGATGTATCTTTCTCCACTTGAAAAGTCGAATTTTCAGAAATCATTAACCTA